CGTGTATAATGGAGTCATACAAAAACATTTGCACCCAAGTGGTTATAGTTTATTTCTTAGGGAATAAATGTTATTTCCTATCATGTTAAACTCTCTAAAAGAAGGATAAATGTTCCTTTATTGCATTAAGGCAAAATAGTACGATTTTCCTGGAAACTTTCTGTTTTTAAAAGATTAACACATGCAATAATTTTAGTTTTGTTTATCATAGCATGTCAACAGTAGCAAAAATTCAGATAAGTTTACATGAATTTCAGCAGTCCAATTTTAGGAACTGCTGAAGTATGTATACTGTATTCTCTTTCTATCTACATTGGGTTGGTTTATTTCTCAACTACTTCTGCTGCTGATGAAAATGTGTACAAAACCTGTTCAAACAAGGATCCCTTGGATTATTATTCTCAAGCCAATAAACAAGCCAGGAATAAATGTTGGATTCTAAGTTTGTCTTGTTAAAAAAGCAACAAACCAGGAATTTTAGTTTGGATGTATTATATTACAAAAAAGGAAATAGGAAAGATTGGGCACATACACTAGAATGCTTGCTCAATCTTGATAAGCCAGAATTTAGAAGCATTCTGTCTTATTGTTATGTACATCTGGCTTAATATGAATTCTAAGGTACTCAGAATTTTAATGTAGAACAAATAAACTAGTTGTAAAATGATTGAAAAACATCAGTGACCTTTCTTTAGTTTTGATAAAGCAAACAGCAATTTCCACTGACATAGGATCATGGAAACGATCCAATTTCTTCACAAAACTATGCTTATTCAGAAAGGAGAAGCATGCAAAGAAAGTGGAATTAGCAATGTAATGATGACTATAAGTGAGAGAATGTTAAGTATTGCACTACAATATGTCAACTCTTATTCGTTCAGGGTTTAAAATTGCACCACCTTTGCTAGGAATCATTGCCTTCACAATTTCACTGATTCTGGCATTATTTTCTACAAGTATTTTTGCTCACTTTCTTAGGATCAGTATTTATTAAGAAGTGTTTAAATGCAATAAACATTTGCACAGCAAATTTTAAACAACTGTCCCAGAAAGAGACAAATTTGGGCCAAAGTATATTTTAACTATTCACATTTTAAAGCCTGGTATTCCAGTTAGTATCTTAGAACACCAGCAGTTCCAAACTAAAATCATTCTCATCTTTTTTTCAAGTGAACATACTTCTCAATAAATACAGTTGGACTCCTCTTCTGAGGACCTCATCCAGTGTCATGGGGACACTGCTTCACTTGCTCCAATTGACAAAAAACTGAGTATTGAATTCTCTGGAATACAAGTCAAATCTAATAGCGCAATCCATTGTAATTAACATCAAAATGATTATTATTTTATAATGGACTTGGAATTCAAAGAGAATTTTTTAAAAAACAGTTGCCGGTTTAAAACATATACAGCCAAAAACTATACTGTACTGAAGAATCATTCCCTGGTAACTTCCAATACTTTGAATATATTATTGTTAAACACTGTCCTGAAGTATGGCCTGGAATCTTTGCACATGAGATTGCATAAGGGAATTTTCCCAGCATTGGCAAGATCTTCTATGTCCCAAATTTCTGGCATACTGCAACCAGGCCTAAAAATATTTATAAATAGTATCAGTAAACAAAGACACATTCATTTCAATGAAACAATTCTATATAACATTTATGCAGGTAAATAAAGCTGCCTCAGGTTTCACATCTCATTTGTGAGAAGAATGGGGCTGCATTCACTAGCATCCTTCTCTCTGTTATATACTCGCTGACCGTACATTTTAGACCTCTTTATAACTTGTGTTCTAAATTACAAGTAGAGTTTATACATAAAATGTCCTTCTCACTTCAGACTTTCTCCTCTCAGCATGTGGATACAGTAACAGAGACGTAATGAGAGTGCAGAAGCAGTGAATATGGCTGCAATTCTCCCTCTTATCACATGAGAGAAATGAACCAATGGATGTTAATGTATGCAGGAGGCTGTGCTGAACGTTGTCCTACTGGCAGGCAAGCACTATGGAGTATGGGCAGACAGGTGCTACAAAGTATGAGATCCCCATGCAGCACGGGGGCTCCTTGGGAGAAAAAGCAGTGGGAGCAGGAGCAACTTCCAACCTCCTGCCAGCTTCCCCATTGACTTTGCTTGTGGGAAGCCAGCTGGGAAGGTTGCAAATGGTGATCACATGACCACAGGGATGCTGCAATGGCTGCAACTTTGAGGACCAGTCATAAGTCCCCCTCGTTCAGCACCATTGTAACTTTGAACGGTTGCTGAATCAGGACTACCTGTATTTCAAAGGCACACACAAAGTTGCCTTATAATTTAATCTTTATGAAATGGATGATGTTACAAATGGATCTTAAAACTTTCCTAGCATGCCTTAGAGAACAGCATTCTGCTTATTGAACATTTGTGGAAACAACTACAGTTTATTACTGAATACTTACTTAGTTCGCCTCAGGCACCAAGAATCTTCTAAAATGTAGTAATTTACTCCCATCTTTAATAATTCCCTTTTAACTTCCTTTGCTGGCTTTCGGCTATACATGGAATAAACTATTTTTGTTCTTGCCCTTTGCAGAAAAGCCATAAATTACCATTGAAGAATGATACTTAAGGATATTTATACCAGTTAAGCAAAGTGATAGAATGGGTGTGATACCCTAGAGACAGACAATTTATTCTTGCATACATTTTTACAGAACATAATTTCTCATTTGTATAAGACAGACTTAAATGTGTATTAAATTTAAAGGAGGTAAATAAAATTAGTAGGAAGAGAACTAAGAAAACTAGAAAATATATTAATGCAGTATATAACCTTTTGCTAGAAAATCAGAAAATGAATACTGAACATAAGAATACTTTATTTGCCTGTACCTGACATTCTGCAAGTCATATATGAATTCACACATAAGGTTATGCATCTACCAGAGATCTTTTTGTGAATGGTGAAATACCTTGAAAAGAAGATGGGAGTGTAGTCCCCAGGACATTCTCACTTACCTCTTTCGTGGAAGGAGAGAGATCTCCTGCAATTCTGGAAATGCCCTAGAACTCTTAGAGAGGTGTAATGTAGGGTTCATACTTTGAAAGGGAGTTTGCTCTCTGTTTATATACAGTAGCTTGCACCGTCAGTGTTTGTGGGGGTAACCCTAACCCTAACATCACTCCCTTCTAGCAGGGAAGATGTTACCTAGCCAGGTAATGAAACATCTGCAAGAAAACAACCAAGTTCAGAGAACCCCAAGGACTCCATATGTTCCCTCCCACCACACTTAAAGGAAAACGCTAATTGTACCTACTTGTGCCTGTTTCCTTTTCAATTTTGCTTAAAATTAAAATATTTTAAAATATTAAACATAGAATGGGGCAGGAGACTGATGGGTGCCAAGAGAAGTATTCATGGGCATATTGGGTATCCTATAATTAATACAGCAGTAAAAATATAGCTACACTTCATTATTATGAACATAACTTATACCTTCATATTGTTACTGACAATTATGAAAATTCCTACAGTACATCAATCGCAACAACTCTTAAAATATGTACTAAGCCTTACCGTAAACCTGCATCCTCATAATGGGGATGATTCACAATAGGTCGTTGTGCAGATAATTTTACACTTGCCATTGTAGGCATTGCACCAGCAAAAACAGCATCTGAAATAACAGGATATCTAAAAATGCAGGAATAATTGAAAAAAGAACTGGAAAGTACAGTGGTACCTCGGGATACGAACGCCTCTACTAACGAATTTTTTGGGTTACGACCAGCTCCAGCCGCAAAAATTTACCTCGATGTGTGAACTCTGCCTCGGGGTACGGTCATTTTTCCACTTTGACACGTGGTCCGCAGCCATTTTTCCACCCGACATGTGGTCCGCGGCCATTTTCCCGCCCTGCCGCATGGCGCCCGGCCATTTTCCC